AAACATTGATAATTTTTGTATTCAATTTCAACTTAAATTTCCTAAACTCTCAAAACTATTTAAAAAATCCGCGATTAAAGCTGTGTTAGTCCTTTAAAAAATATTTTTTTAAAATCCACCATGAAATAAATTGAAAAATAAACCTCCTCCCTTCCAAAAACCCCTAATGCAATGTAAACAAACAATAAACAACAAGTTTTGCCAGACATTAATTAATCAAAAAATGCAAATTCATTGACTGACTGGCGGGAGAACTGAGAACTCAGAATTTTGATAAGCCAATTTCATAAAGCATCACAAAAAAAAAACAAATAAACAAAACACAACAAATATTAAAAATGAAAAACAAAAAAATTAATAAAAATATGAAAATATGTTCTGTTTCCAATGCAGGTAAATCAAAACGCTGACGCCAACCAGCCAACCGAGCCCTTGGGATAGGAAATCAACAAGGTGTTGTGAAGGTTTTTAAATTGGCTGTGGGGCAAGTCCCCCCAAATGTCTATTCAATGAGCTATGGAACACATGGACAAAGTCTACGCTGTGCCATAACGTAGCAAAACGAAATACAATTTATACCCACATCCGGAATTTTTAAGTGGAATTCAATTCCCCGCTCTCTCGCTGTGTAAAATCTCATATCCCAATGATAGGTGGAATATTTATTCTAATGAAATTTTTATTTTATTCTATGATGAATTTTATTCAGGGTTGTGGATTATAGAAATCTATGAAAATAAATGGTAATAAAAAACGAGGGTTGAATGTCAATCAGGGGGTGAAATATTCTCAATTGATATATATGACCAGGTAGACGTATAAGTGTTGTCAACACTCATACGCTGCATGGTAGCTATTAACAAAAATATAAACAAAATTCTATGGGGAACCGAATGGACATTTAAGGACTATCTGTTGAGGAAACTTGGATTTTTTAAAGAATATTTTTTCAACGACCATCAGTTGAAGAAACGTGGATTTTTTAAAGAATATTTTTTTAAGGACCATCAGTTGAAGAAACGTGGATTTTCTAAAGAATATTTGTTCAAGGACCAACAGAAACGTGGATTTTTTAAAGAATATTTTTTCAAGGACCATCACTTGAAGATACCGAGAAACATGTATTTTTTAAAGAATATTTTTTCAAGGACCAACATTTTTTCAAGGATATTTTTTTAAGGACCAAAAGACCAAGAAACGTGGATATTTTAAAGAATATTTTTTCAAGGACCAAAATACCGAGAAACGTGTATTTTTTAAAGAATATTTTTTCAAGGACCAAAAGACCAGGAAACGAGGATTTTTTGAAGAATATTTTTTCAAGGACCATCTGACCAAGAAACGTGTTTTTTTTAAAAGAATATTTTTTCAAGGACCAAAGGACCAAGAAACGTGGGTTTTTTAAAGAATATTTTTTCAAGGACCATTATTTAATGAAACGTGGATTTTTTAAAGAAAAATTTTTCAAGGACTCTTAGGTCAAGATTTTTTTTAATGAATATTTTTTCAAGGACTCTTAGGTCAAGATTTTTTTAATGAATATTTTTTCAAGGAACATCAACTGATGAAACGTGGATTTTTTAAAGAATATTTTTTCAAGGACCATCAGTTGATGAAACGTGGATTTTTTAAAGAATATTTTTTCAAGGATAATCAGTTGATCAAACGTGGATTTTTTAAAGAGCATTTTTTCAGGACCATCAGTTGAACAAACGTGGATTTTTTAAAGAATATTTTTTCAACGACCATCAGTTGAACAAACGTGGATTTTTTAAAGAATATTTTTTCAACGACCATCAGTTGAAGAAACGTGGAATTTTTAAAAGAATATTTTTTCAACGACCATCAGTTGAACAAACGTGGATTTTTTAAAGAATATTTTTTCAACGACCATCAGTTGAACAAACGTGGATTTTTTAAAGAATATTTTTTCAACGACCATCAGTTGAACAAACGTGGATTTTTTAAAGAATATTTTTTCAACGACCATCAGTTGAACAAACGTGGATTTTTTAAAGAATATTTTTTCAACGACCATCAGTTGAACAAACGTGGATTTTTTAAAGAATATTTTTTCAACGACCATCAGTTGAAGAAACGTGGATTTTTTAAAGAATATTTTTTCAACGACCATCAGTTGAACAAACGTGGATTTTTTAAAGAATATTTTTTCAAGGACCATCAGTTGAAGAAACGTGGATTTTTTAAAGAATATTTTTTCAACGACCATCAGTTGAAGAAACGTGAATTTTTTAAAGAATATTTCTTCAACGACCATCAGTTGAAGAAACGTGGATTTTTTAAAGAATATTTTTTCAAGGACCATCAGTTGAAGAAACGTGGATTTTTTAAAGAATATTTTTTTCAACGACCATCAGTTGAAGAAACGTGGATTTTTTAAAGAATATTTTTTCAAGGACCATCAGTTGAAGAAATGTGGATTTTTTAAAGAATATTTTTTCAACGACCATCAGTTGAAGAAACGTGAATTTTTTAAAGAATATTTTTTCAACGACCATCAGTTGAAGAAACGTGGATTTTTTAAAGAATATATTTTCAACGACCATCAGTTGAAGAAACGTGGATTTTTTAAAGAATATTTTTTCAACGACCATCAGTTGAAGAAACGTGGATTTTTTAAAGAATATTTTTTCAACGACCATCAGTTGAACAAACGTAGGTTTTTTAAAGAATATTTTTTCAACGACCATCAGTTGAAGAAACGTGGATTTTTTAAAGAATATTTTTTCAACGACCATCAGTTGAAGAAACGTGGATTTTTTAAAGAATATTTTTTCAAGGACCATCAGTTGAAGAAACGTGGATTTTTTAAAGAATATTTTTTCAAGGACCATCAGTTGAAGAAACGTGGATTTTTTAAAGAATATTTTTTCAAGGAAGAAAGTTGAAGAAACGTGGATTTTTTAAAGAATATTTTTTCAACGACCATCAGTTGAAGAAACGTGAATTTTTTAAAGAATATTTTTTCAACGACCATCAGTTGAAGAAACGTCGATTTTTTAAAGAATATTTTTTCAACGACCATCAGTTGAAGAAACGTGGATTTTTTAAAGAATATTTTTTCAACGACCATCAGTTGAACAAACGTGGATTTTTTAAAGAATATTTTTTCAACGACCATCAGTTGAAGAAACGTGGATTTTTTAAAGAATATTTTTTCAACGACCATCAGTTGAAGAAACGTGGATTTTTTAAAGAATATTTTTTCAACGACCATCAGTTGAAGAAACGTGGATTTTTTAAAGAATATTTTTTCAACGACCATCAGTTGAAGAAACGTGGATTTTTTAAAGAATATTTTTTCAACGACCATCAGTTGAAGAAACGTGGATTTTTTAAAGAATATTTTTTCAACGACCATCAGTTGAAGAAACGTGGATTTTTTAAAGAATATTTTTTCAACGACCATCAGTTGAAGAAACGTGGATTTTTTAAAGAATATTTTTTCAACGACCATCAGTTGAAGAAACGTGGATTTTTTAAAGAATATTTTTTCAACGACCATCAGTTGAAGAAACGTGGATTTTTTAAAGAATATTTTTTCAACGACCATCAGTTGAAGAAACGTGGATTTTTTAAAGAATATTTTTTCAACGACCATCAGTTGAAGAAACGTGGATTTTTTAAAGAATATTTTTTCAACGACCATCAGTTGAAGAAACGTGGATTTTTTAAAGAATATTTTTTCAACGACCATCAGTTGAAGAAACGTGGATTTTTTAAAGAATATTTTTTCAACGACCATCAGTTGAAGAAACGTGGATTTTTTAAAGAATATTTTGAATTTTATTCAGGGTTGTGGATTATAGAAATCTATGAAAATAAATGGTAATAAAAAACGAGGGTTGAATGTCAATCAAGGGGTGAAATATTTCTCAATTGAAATATATGACTACGTAGACGTATAAGTGCTGTCAACACTCATACGCTGCACAGTACCTTTTAAAAAATTATAAACAAAATTCTATGGGGAACCGAATGGACATTTAAGGACTATCTGTTGAGGAAACATGGATTTTTTAAAGAATATTTTTTCAAGGACCACCAGACAAAGAAAGGTGGATTTTTTAAAAAAATACTTTTTCAAGGACCATTAGATCAAGAAACCTGAATATTCGTTCAAGGACCAAAAGACCAAGAAACGTGGATTTTTTAAAAAATATTTTTTTCAAGGACCAAAAGACCAAGAAACGTGGATTTTTTAAAAAATATTTTTTTCAAGGACCAAAAGACCAAGAAACGTGGCTTTTTTATAGAATATTTTTTCAAGGACCAAAAGACCAAGAAACGTGGATTTTTTAAAGAATATTTTTTCAAGAACCAAAAGACCAAGAAACATGGATTTTTTAAAGAATATTTTTTCAAGGACCAAAAGACCAAGAAACATGGATTTTTTAAAGAATATTTTTTCAAGGACCAAAAGACCAAGAAACGTGGATTTTTTAACGAAAATTTTTTTTCAAGGACCATCAGTTGAAGAAACATGGATTTTTTAAAGAAAATTTTTTTCAAGGACCATCAGTTGAAGAAACGTGGATTTTTTAAAGAATTTTTTTTTCAAGGACCATCAGTTGAAGAAACGTGGATTTTTTAAAGAAATTTTTTTCAAGGACCATCAGTTGAAGAAACGTGGATTTTTTAAAGAATTTTTTTTTAGGACCATCAGTTGAAGAAACGTGGATTTTTTAAAGAATTTTTTTTCAAGGACCATCAGTTGAAGAAACGTGGATTTTTTAACGAAAAATTTTTTTCAAGGACCATCAGTTGAAGAAACCTGGATTTGTTAAAGAAAATTTTTTTCAAGGACCATCAGTTAAAGATTGGTCCTATATTTTTTTTTTCAAAAATTGTTTTCAATCGAGAATCAATTTTGCATATTGGGTCTTCTTGAAAATAGTTTTAACAAATTTTAAAGGTTTTTAGATTTAAAAAAAAAAAAAAAATATGGAAAAAATCTAATTTTTTTTTGAACAACTTACATCAGCGATTCCATCGCGTATGTGTCGCCAAATCAGCGGATCCGTTTGTATGTACAGCGAACAGGTATTCTTGTTATCCTCACGACGGGCCGAGGAGCCCGACGAACGGCGCATGCGTTCGTGGACCCGTTCATGCCAATCACTGTCGGTGGGTTGATAGCGACGTCCCGTCTCTGGATCGTAAAAATAGCCGCTAGCACCAGCCGTATCGGCATCGACGATTTCATCCTCATAACGGACATTTGCTTCTTTGGTGTATTTCACATAAGGATAGTTGAAATCATCTGTGGCACCATTTTTATTGTTGTTGCTGTTGATGTTGCCACGGTAGTTGTTGTTGTTGGCAGCATATTTTTTCGGTGGTGGTTGTGCAGCATCAGAGGATGTGGTGTTGTTGGTTCTCTTCGAATGTTTACTGCCGCCACGACTGCCGCTTTTGCTGTGGTCTTTGGTGGAAGAGGCATTATCTTTATCGGCATCGGTGTCGTCCTCATCATCCACACTAGCACCACCATCAGCATCCTCATCATCATCATCGTTCAAAAGTATGATTTTATCTTCTTCTGCTCGTCGTGGCTGTTGCTGTTGGCTTGACGGCGTACGCTTCTTGGGCGTTTTAATATCCTTTGACATAGGTTCGGGTAATTCTTCCACAGCTGAATTTTGTATATTCTCCATCCACTGGGATACTTCATCAGTAATGCCGCAACCGGCTGCATGGCCTATAAAAATATGAAAAAGAAAAGAACAAAAGATGTGAAACAGTGAGAGAGAGACAGCGAAAAACAGAAGAAACAGTGAGTAATACATTTTTAATGAATTAAAAGAATTGACAAAAAACAACAACAATAAGTCCCCATACGGGGAATATGGAATGAGAAACAGCTAAAAATAACATTGCCAACGGAAAACCAATGTTTCCTTTCGCTGGTTTTTCCAAAATGTATGTAAGAGAAGAACAATGGGGATTTTTTAAAGGATCTTGGAAGGACTCAAATATGGGAGTATTGTGGAATGGCTCAAGCATGTGGATTTTTATAGAATCAAGGGAGGTCTCAAAGACTATACATTTTAAGAACCTTGAAAGGCCTTTCGACGTGGATTTTTAAGGAATCTTGAAAGGACTAAAAAGGAGTGGATTTTTAAAGGATTCACAAAGAATGAATTTTTCAGAACTCCAAGGGATCAAAAACATAGATTTTTTTAATAATCGTGGAAGGACTCATAGACCTGGATTTTTTAACAATCTTAGAAAGGATTTAAGGACATGGATTTAAAAAAATCTTGGTGGAACTTAAAGACGAGGATTTTTAAATAATCTCGGAAGGACTCAGGGATATGGATTTTTAACTAATCTTGGAACGACTCAAAGGCGTGGCTTTATCAAGACCCCAAGGCATCAATAAACGTCCTGCAAGGAATCATAAAAGTGTAATTTAAAAAAAAAATATTGAAAGGACTCATAGACTTAGATTAAAAAAATATATATATATATATATATATTTGCAGGACTCAATGATGTTAAGTTTGATGAATATTGAAAGAATTGAAAGACGTCGATTTGTACAAAATCTTGGAAGGAATCAAAAACCTGAATATTAAAGGAAAGCCTTAAATATGTGAACTTTTATAAAACCTTGGAAGTACTTAGAGACGGGGATTTTTAAGGAATTTAGGATGGACTGAAAGACGTGGATTTTTAAAGGATTTAGGAAGGATTCAAAGACGTGGGTTTTTAAAGGATTTAGGAAGGATTCATAGACGTGGATTTTTAATGGATTTAGGAAGGATTCAAAAACGTTGATTTTAAATGGTTTTAGGAAGGATTCAATGACATGGATTTTTAATGGATTTAGGAAGGATTAAAAGACGTGGATTTTAAAAAAAGCTAAGAAGGATTCAAAGACGCGGATTTAAAAAAAGCTAAGAAGGATTCAAAGGCCTGGATTTTTACAGGATTTAGGAAGGATTCAAAGACGTGGATTTAAAAAAAAATCTAAGAAGGACTCAAAGACGTGGGTTTTAAAAAATCTGAGGACTCAAAGACGACGATTTTTATGTAAAATCAGAAGGACTCAAAGACGACGATTTTTATATAAACTTGGAAGGACTCCATAATAGGGATCTTGCAAAAGCTCTAGAAGACATCAATGAACATATATTTGTAAAGAATTTTAAGAGGAATCCTAGACCTTTAAAGCTTGGACTTAAACAAGCTTTGAAAAAACAAAATTCAGAATGACTTAAGGATCCACATAAAATTGGATTTGTTTAGGGGGGCGTTTTTTTTTTTTTTTTTTTTTTTTGGTTTTTAGAAGGAACCAGCAATTTTTGAATTTTTAAGAAGAAAACAGTGGTTTTTTGGGACGAATCAAAAACAAATCACAAAACTGGACTTTTTAAGGGTTTTTGGAAGGAACCAAAGACCTCAAAAATGTGGGGGTATTTAGGAATTTTTAGAACAGAAAAGTCCTGTAATATGTGGATTTTTAAGAATTTCTTGGGCGGATCCAAGACTTCAAAAACGTGAATTTTGAATAATTTTTCGAGAGAAATAAACACTTTTGGGAAATAATCTAAAACGTGAGGCTTTCTAGGAGTAATTTGAGGTCTTAAATAAAATATTGCATTTTTAATTAATTATGAGAGGAATTTGAGGCCTCAAAACATGGATTATTTATGTTTCTGTGGAAGGAATCCAATATTAAAAAAATGGATTTTGGAAATAATCCAAGTCCTTAAAAATGTTGATTTTTTAAGTACCCTTTGGTCGGACCCAAAACATAAATTTTGAAAGATCTTTGAGAAGAAGCCAAGATTACAAAATGCGGCAGATTTCAAAAAAATGAATTTTCGAGGATTTTTTTCACGAATCTAAGATTTTAAAACGTGATTTAATTCTTATAAAAATCGATTTTTAACTAGAGTTTTGGAATTATTCAACAACTTCATTAACCGTGGATTAAAAAAAAAATGACAGGATTTCAGGCCCTCAAAAAATGAACTTTTTAAAAAATTTCGGAAGACCTGAAAATAAATTATGGAGGTTTCCATGACTGCATTTAACGTTGAGTTTTTCTGGATTTTGAAAGGATTTATTAAATGTGATTTTTTTAAGGATTTTCAATGAATTCCATGAATTTATTAAACGTATACTGTTTAAGGTATTTTTTAGGAATTTTGAAAGATGTCACGGCCTTATTAAATCATAGAATGTCGGCAGGATTCCTAGCCCTCAAAAAATCTGTTTTTTTTTTTAAGGAGGATTCCACGACTTTAATAATATCTGTTTTTTTTTTGGAATTTTGAAAGTATTCCACGACTTAATTTTTTAAGAATTTTGAAAGGTTTCCATGACTTCATTAGAGCATCGAATATCGGCAGGATCCCTAACCCTCAAAAGATCTGAATTTTTTAAAGAATTTTGAAAGGTTTCTACGACTTTAATATCGGCAGGACTCCTAGCCCTCAAAAATATATGATTTTTTTTTTTTTAAATTTTTGAATGGATTGTGGATTTTTGTAAACGTGCATTTTTTTAAGGTATTTCAAAGGACTCCAAGACTTCATTAAATGTGAATTTTTTAAGGAATTTCGGAGGAACCCAGGACCTCAGAAAGAAATTAACACAGATTCCAGAACTTTATTAACAGATGATTAAAAAATCGGAGAACTCCAGGAACTTAGTGAATGTTGACTTAATTAACATATTTAGGAGGTCTACAGGACCTCAGTGACCGTAGATTTTTATAAAAGAATTTAGAGGGCTCCATGACCTCAATAAACTTGAAAGATTTATTTCTTTGGGACTAATGTGGATTTTATAAAGACATTTTGGGATGACTCCAGTACCTCAATGAAAAATTAAGGAGAACTCTTGGACCTGATCAAACGTCGAGTTTTTATAAAGGAATCTATCGGATTTTAGACCTTAATGAACTTTAATTAATTAATTTAGAAGGACACTGATAAATCCTCAGAATCTCGAAACAACCTGGACCTTTTACAGATATTTATCAGGACTTCAATAAACATTAATTTCAATAAACTTTAATTTAGGAGGACCTGAGGACATCGATGAATGTGTATTTAATAAAGAACTTAAGGAGGTCCTTAAGACCTTAAGACACGTTGATTTTATATAGAAATTTAGAATCAATCGAGGAGCTCGTTGAACGTGAATTTTATAAAGAAATGTAGGAGGGCTCAAAGAAAGGGGTTTAATAAACAAATCTAGGATTAATCCAGGACAGTACAACATGAACATGTATTATATAAAGAAATTAAGGTACAATCGAGGGCACCAGAACATGAATTTTAAAAAGAAATTAAGGAACAATCCAGGACATCCGAAGGTGAATTTTATTAAAAATATCTAAGAGGACCCAAAGACGTTCATAAATGTGAATTTTACAAAGAAATTTTGAAAGACTCTAGTTCCTCAAAGATTGTGAAATTTATCAAGAAATTTAGGAACAATCCAGGACATCCGAAGATGAATTTTAAAAAGGAATTAAATGGCCCTAAGACCTTAGTAAATGTGGATTTTGTAATGAAATGTTTAAGGACTCTGTGACCTCAATGATGATGGATTTTATAAAGAATATTTTGGAGAATTTCCACACCTCAATAGACATAAGTTTTATAAGAAATTTTAATAGGGATTTTAAATATCAATGAACGGCGATTTTTAACATAAATTAACAAGGAATTCAGGACTCAAAGAACGTGGAATTTATTCAAAAACATTTTTTTTCCAGAACTTCAGAACATGACTTTTTAATAAGAAATTTAAGGGGCCCAAAGACCTTAATGATTGTGGATTTTATAAAGAAATGGAGGACAACAGCAGGACTTCCCTGGACGTGTGTTTTATAAAAAAATTCGACAGAACTTTTGCATCTTAATAAAAGTGGGTTTTGTAGGAAATGTGGGAAGCATCCAGGACCTCAATGAAAGTGGATTTTATCAAGAAATTTATCAGGACGCGACGAACTTGTAAGGAATTTTTGGATAATCAAAATGAATCAATAAACGGCAGGTTTCCAAGCTATCATAAAACGTGGATATTCTAAGAGATTTCGCCACTATTCAAAGTCCTCAAAAAATTAAAGTTTTTTGGAATTAAAAGACCTCGATTTTTTTAAAAATGTAAAAACTCAAAAACGCTGCTTTATAAAACTTTAGATGGATTCTGTTCCCGAAAATTTTGAATTTTAAGTAGTCTTTAAAACCTAAAAAAATGAATTTTACAGGAATTTCTGCAGGATTCCGAACCCTCAAAAAGAAGTGTGTTTTAAAGGAATCGAAATGCGGCATGTGTTGGTAATGCAGTTGTTAATGGTATTGAGTAAATTTTGTTAAGCTTTGCTGTTGCCAACCACCCTGGCAGTTATGAATTATGAAACCACCAATGCTTGGTGTTGCTACAAATCCATGTCGTTGTTGTTGCAGTGGCTGTCGTTTTTTCGCATTCGTTCTACTTTCTATTTAGTTTTTCCCTTGGCAAAATTATGGAATTCTGTTGCATGTAATGTCTTGCAAAAAAAGAAACAGAAAAAAAAAACTATAGCTCTAATCCCGAAGGTGGGGAGAAGGGAAGAAAGCGAAAGGGTGGAATTGTATCCCTAGTATTGCACAAACACAAAACCATCCATGAAATCCGCAAATATATAAGTATGCAGCATAGTGCATAAAAGCAAATAGAGAAATTTAGTTAATA